AAGGAAACCTATTTTTATTAGCTGTAGAAGAGACAAGCGTGACATGAATTTTTTTTATTTAATTACTTAGCATGGTCATTATTTCTTAATCTTTTTCATCTTGCAAACTACGTTAGGTTTTGGCAGGGTTTCTTAATGATTATCACACAATGCTTTGCATAATTAGCTTGCGTGTTACTCAATCATCATCTCTGTTTTCCTCGGGTGCGCTAGGATGAAACAGCCCATATAACTGTCGACTATATCCCACCAAAGGTATACAGTTTCGGTAAGAACAGTACAGTTGAATCACTTTTCCTCTTCTATTTGGGCTCCCGCATATGGATGCAAAATGTCCTATAGTGTCGTTTAAACCTGTCACATTCATGGCAAAGGGGGCGACTCACACTGTGTGTGCATGTGGTAACTACGGTAACTGTTCAGCTTTTTATTTCCTTTTGGGGGTTCAGAAACAAAGAATAACACACCATTGCTCGCCCATATATCCCATCCCATTCCGTTCTTTTTTCTGTGAAAATCGTATTGCTGAGCAGCTTTCATCGATTGAATCTACTTATTGAGGGAAATGCTTTCAAACGCGGTTCATCTGTCCGCCGTTTTATCCAGATGGTTTCGTTCAGTGCCCGATGTTGTGGGTGCCAATCATCAGCAGGTGAATAGTTTCATTGACCTTGAAATTTCATGACATCATGACTCAGGCATATCGTTTATTCGAACATATTTATTGATTTGAACTGACTATTCTTCGGACTTCACATTCACTCACAATCCTCGGTTCATCGATTGAACCATACACTCGGAAGCACTAGACTTGAGTTTCACTCTTATTAAAGCTCATCAGTAGTGTATATCCACCGTTCCGTCCGGGATTTGAACTCCGGATCCGTCGAATGGAAGTCATGTACGTTACCACTGTGCTAACCAGCTCATACCATAGCTGAACAAAACTGCCACTTCATGTTTGTGAGTTAAATGTGAATTAAATATTTGTGAAACTAATTTAATGATGTAGTATACTTTTCCTTTTTTTTGCTTGTATTTATTTCACTAAAATTTAATTAACTCTGTTTCATTTGAATAATAATCGTAACTTAAGTAAAAAAAATTATGATTCCAGTTAGAAATTTACCATTTTTCCTCACTCTTGATGAGGAAACATGCGTTTGAAATGTTTCTGCCTTTTAAGCAGAGAGGGTTGAAAGGGAACACACGAACCGATCTTCACAGGCATTTTACGATAAATATTTACCCTACGTGTTTTGACGAGTGACGACCGTAGTGATTTATTGTGCATTGTGAATGGCAGAATAGTTATTGTGCCGGTTTAAGGTACGGGAATGTGTTGCAAGGAACTAATCACGTGCTAGTCAAACTGATTTGTCTGCCGTATGGTCAAATTGACCTCTGGTCAATGCTAGAGTGAAACTTTAACAAACTGTGAAACATCCTTTTTTGCATTATCTACTTCATCAACACAAGATGACATACATAGAGAGAGAAAGAGAGATATAGCGCCCCGTTCCCAATTTACCTCACCAACATCGGTCAGTTCAGCGTGATCGTGATCACCTCGGATTGATTCTGAATGACCCTGTTCGTTTCCGTTCGCAACTCGCATCGAGCAGACGGGCTTGTACTACACCAATCTCCGGAGTCTCACGAGATCATTTAGTACAAAGCGATATTGCGCAATTCCGTGTTCGTTTTTCGCTCCATGTATGCAAATCTTTCACTGACATAGTCAAGTGATACTAAGAGGGAAATAGATCGAGGGTATTAGCTTTATTTCGTATTGCGTCCGATGGGTACGCGTCAAAATGGCTTCTGTGGACACTGATATTTTTTATACACAGACCAATAACCCGGAAAATCCCATAATCATTGCCTGACTCATCTGATCCCTGGTCGCCCCCGAAGATTTTACCAGTAAAGCAATGCCAACTCACTGACCACTCCACAATGTACTCGAATGGGAACAAACAGGTTTCAGTATCACACGGTTGCGGGAAAGAATTTCTTCAGTGGAAGACTTTTGTGCAATTTTTGGNTTTTTGGACTGCAAAAGTGAAACCCACACCCGAGAATAACAAGAGTGCCTGTGCCTCTTAACAAACGAATGGGATAATCCAACTTGCTACTTTACGCATTACAGTTTTCTTTTCGTTTAAACCGCAACTGAGAACGAAGGAATTCGGGGACATGAAAAACTGAGGTGCGCCGAACCAGCACAAACGCAAAGCCATCTTGCATAGTTTCAGGTTTGTGTTACTCTCTTTTTTACTGGACGGTGGTGGTAACGTCAACAAATTATCACCCCGGGGACGCGTGTTCGAATCCCACCATCACCGCATGACTTTCCCCATTGTGTGTGTTGAATGGCAACCCTTTGGTTGGCAGCTTACCCCTTCCTGAAAATTGAATCTTTGTATATTCAATAAAAGAAAGTAAAATGAAAAGAAAAATAGGTGCCCCACTCGGTTGGTGTTGTTTCGTTTTCCTATTCTACAAATTACCTCATCACTCCACGCTAGTTAGTTCATCTTCTAATTATTTGTTCAAAATTAAAAATTCACTTCTATTTCACAAAGTGAATGTAAAGCAAATTAGGTCCCGGTGGGACTACTGATTAAACATTTTCACCGCAACTGTTTCGAGCTAATCTAGTTCCCTTNGAGAGTATTCCATTGAAAGGATATCACACGGGTGATCTTTTTCTCAAAATTTATTATTTAGTAACAGAGCCGAACATTGATTATTTCTCGGGAAAATGCATCACGTTGCTTTTTTAGTTCTGTCTTAAAAAAGTCGTTCTTTAATGGCTGTGAAAACCCTTCAAATGGTGATGCTGTGACTCATGGACACATTTTTAGCCTAGCAGCATGTGTTCACTGTGCTTTAAAAAAAAGAAGTAGAAAATACATTCACATCCAGTTTCACTTGTTATGCCCCAGTCAGATTTGCGGTGGTAAACCGCAAATCCAAACGTGGTTTGCACCTGGGGCATGAAGGACTAGATAAGGCAAATCAAAGTTTTACGAGCAAAAACGTGTTGTGATTCATCTGAGTGCAGTTTTCTCAGACCACGTTGCGTAACATGTGTGTAATTAGTACATTTTATTATTGCATAGTAGACTCCGACAGTACATACTGATTAACTTCTGTCATTAGGCGAGTGATATTTGACTAGACTTGCCTTTGCTATGAAAAAAGGAAGCTATGCGAACAATAGTTAGCTCTGAGTCTATTATTCTTCACATCCAATGAAATAGGCTGTTACCATCTGTGGATCAATAAACCTTAAACGACGCTAACATTATGGATCTAGTCACTCTGAGGTGCCCCGAGAACCATCGGAACTCGGGACCCAGAAAAAAATAAACACACACACACGCTAGTCGCGTCAAGACAAGTTGGGTTCATTTCATTTTAAATCCAACGCATTATAGATGCGAATGATACTAAAGGGTAGAGATTAGCTAAACTTTCAGACCACAAAATGACGATGAAAAATGATACAACACAGATTAAAAGCAATCTGACGAGACCGATTAGTAAACCAAAATGGTCGGCATCAGGTCGTTATCGTCAGTTTTGTAAATAGAACGCAATATTGAATCATTACATAATATACGTATATACATTCTATTGTATATGTTGTAATAATTTGAAATCGTACAACATTACTCTCATTTTAACAGTACTACTTTCCAGTTGCCAACATCATACGTGTATGTCGGTAGCAATTGGTGAAGAGCATTTACTCTGAACTTTCTTTGCTATATATTGGATTCCTGTACTTGTGCTCTCTGGATATCGCGAAATTTGTTGCAATGAGGAGACAGGTTTTCCATAACTATCACTTTCCAAATGTCTTCCCAGAAAATGGTTGGCAGAGCACCTAGCTCAAGGTCAGTCGGAGAAGACGGTTGGATCTCATTAAATATTTCTCTCATATTTATGCAGTTTCCGGATGGGTCAACTCCAATGTCGAATTCATTTCAATTGCCGCTTTGCTCTTGAGCTTTGAATGTAAACGATAATTTTTCCCTGTGCTACAAAACAGAGACGAGTTAGCTAGCTCGACAGTGGGCTTTAGTGGCCTAGTTGCGGATTGGATCAGGGGAATCTGGCAAATGCTATTTGGCAGTCAACTTAGTGGACTCAATGCAAAAACGACTGCCTCTTGTGTTCACAAATGGAGAAGGATAACTAAAACATTGAGTAGCATGCCTATGATTCGTTGGAAGAAAACAAACTGTAACGAATTGTTTTACTGAGACTTTGTTGTTTTACAAGTGATTTACCAGCACATGTCGTGGAAATCGATAAACTGTGAATTTAAATGGCATTGGATAACTCGAAGCTAACACATAAGTGGTTATTAGCACAGATATATGGGTTAAGATAACGCTCAATCCTTTGAATACCGCTCAAAATTATGAGTTTTGGGAGTAAACGGTATGGTAAAAGTCAGCGTGGTGTACTACTTGAAGCAACAACTACATATATGTATATATCACAAAAGTAGTATGTGAATGACTGAACAAAATTTCCCTGGAAGCACATATATATGGAAACTGTTCTTATTTGAATGGTTAAATTAATACCTCTCCCTCTGTTTTCAAATATATGCTCACGCATAAAGTTGATTCCATGGGGTATCAGTTACTTCATGTGCCATTCGGGCTAACTGATTGAATAAATCTGTACCCACACTTATTTTAACGTATTTTGTGGTTCAGTTCCGCAAAGCGTCAAACGTTATCTCAGTCAGCAAATGCCATTTGTGTGGCCAGTCAGCATATAGGGCAGCACTTTGCTGTATTGTGTTTTGCCCTGCTATAGATGTGATAATGTGATATTGATCCCGCCTGCATAGGGTGACTGAAGATTTGACAATCAAGATTTCGCAGGAATACTAGGGTTGGGCGTTTCTATTGCTCTATGTAACCGATAGAATCTAACTGCTTTTCGGACTTGATACGCAAACGGTTAACCTATCAGCTTTGATTGGTTACACTGATTAATGCGGACACTGACGGGCGCTGTTCCACGAAAACACCGCCACCACCACCATCGACAACAACGAACAGACAACATTTCCGATCACCACCCATGATCTGTGGGACACGGCTGCTGGCAGATGAAAGCATACGTTTTACTAAAAGAATCGGAATATAATAAAACAGTAATGAGAATCATCATCGGTCGACAATGACTCACAAGTGCGATTGAACAGCGAATCGCGCTGACCGTTTTGAATGAACTTAAACGGTTGGCAGCGCGCTCATCTCATCCACCATGAAATCTATTGAATCGGCCAAGTTATCAAATGGAAAAATACTAGGGGAAAAAAACAAACAAACATGCAAATCACGATTATGTAAAATCTATTTTTTTTCTTGTCTTCAAAAAAATTCAACTGAAAAAAAGTCAACATTTACCGATACATTTGTGCTGTAAATGCAAGATCAGCAATCGTGATTCCATGTTCGAAAGAAATACTACAACAACAATTCGTGTTTTGTTTCAGTGATAGGTATTGCACACTGAGAATTAGAGGAATCGGACGGTCATTGACTTCAGGACTGGGGGGGGGGGTCAAAGAACCAACGAAAACAACAGTTGAGTTTCTCTTTGGACAAAAAGTCTAATAAGATAAGGAAATCAAAACGAAACAGAATACCTTGAAGTTTTGAAGTAAGCGACACATCCCGTCCGCGTAAACAAACAAAGCGGGCCGATGGAAGTTTGACAAGAATGGGCCTGTAATCGAGGTAAAATAACGTACGTTTATAATATACATATATACGGAACACTTGGGGTATGTAGTCTGCTAAAATGAATATAGCATTGGCGAGCAATGGAAAACACCTATCAAGATGTGGCTGAAAGGAACAATAATTCAAATAGGGTCCGGCGATCTTTGCTAAATGCTCTTCATCGGAATACTGTGAATAGTTAAGGGGAAAAAAATTCATTGACGTGAGACACATCGAACTGGGTTCGGGGCCTGGGGTGCAAGTTGGTTGGAGATCCGACAAGTCGGATAGAAGGGACTGTGAACGAGTGGGAGAAGGAGTTGAGAGGGAAAAAGGAGGCGGTGGCGGTGGCAGTCCATAAATGAACACTGTTTACATTCTAATGATAATCACAGCAATTTAGCTTGAAGTTTGGCCGGAAAAGTTGTGCTTGTCTCCCCGGTCCGGCAGGTCACCCAAGAAACGATATTCGTGGTTCAAATGAGTGAAGAACAACTCTGTTTTGGATTGGAATTGGTTCATTCAAACGATCAAGAGAACCAACAGTTATTGCTGAAATCCATACGTAAGACTGAATGAATACTGTAGAGAAGCATGAACAGGATCAGGTGAACAGCAGGAGACAGACCGACCAGACCACAAGTGGGGAAGCAAATTGCGGCTGCATGAACAGCCAGCGCCGGTTGATAGATAGCAGTAAACCATTCGGAACGATCAAAACGGTTTCTTGTGGCAACTTGAACCTGAAGAGACAAACGAAATCAGCGGGCCGTGCATTATGGTTAGATATCCGTGGACAATCATATTTCACAGTATTGCATTAGGTTACATTGTCTAAAGATAAGCTCAAACAGATAAGAGTCAATCCTCGTTCATAAATTTTCTTCCAGTTGGCTAACAGGGTATGACTTTGTTGTGCAGTACCACTGAGTTTTGGCAACCGGTCTACTTGGGGTTTGAAACCCGGACTCCTCATCATGTGAGCGCCATTACATTGCTTACCAGCTCCTAGATTACTGATCTGAATCACCAAGGTGCTGTATGTAGTAAAAGTCATTCACTTGCTGACCAGACAAACAAATTCCAATGGATGCACAGTAGCCACTCTGCGTGAAATCTGATCTCTTATGATTCCTGGTGAACCACGTCTCACGTTCTCGATTATACGCAAGCATTCTTTGCTAAAACAGCCGCACTTGATTTTCAATTTATCGAAAAGCACATAGTTGCTCCTGGTGTGAATTTTCCTGATGAATGCAAGACTGGGACAAACTGAAGCAGATGTCAACACTTCCTTCAAGATTACACTAAAGCACAGTCGATAGTGACGTCAGTGACAAATATATGGGACTAAGCTAAAACGGTTAGGAATGAGCTGTTTATATGCAATCGTTTTGACGAATTAATGTGTGAGATCAAAACACGTTCATTCGCCAAAACCGGCTCTTTATTACGTTGGAATGTGTTTGTGGGGTGAATATAATGTTCAATTCGTTAAAAATATTGTCCAGAATCCGGGCAAGACGAACAAAAGCAAATCGAAAACCTGTTTAACCCTGATCACTTCGGAGTATCAACTGCGACTACCCAACTGGCTCTCTGTACATGCATGCGCTGATCAAACTCGTGCAATATCACTCTCATTTCCAAGCTCATACTCATTTATGGGTGAAGTGTATTTATCCCTGACTTTATCTTTCACTTTTCTGTTCTTAATTCTCTTCGATCCTCTTTTGAAGTCGTGCGACCTTGAGTGTCGCGATAAAATTTCTAGTAGTTCGATAGTGACAGCTCACATTAGAAAAATATTTTATGCAAAACATCATAGAAATTCATTCATTCTAATAAATGATTTCTATTTTATGGGAGTGTTTATTGAGCTGCACATAGGTGCGGGAAATAGGCCAATTAGAGAAATTATTCTAGCTTAAATAAATTGATAAATTATTTGGCTACGAACTACCCACGCATTATCCCTAATGCTGGAAGAACTCAAATATATTCTAAGAAACAAAAGTTGACCTTGTGGTGCGCGGCTCATTGAATAAGCGTTTTCTGGTGTTCTCATACCCAAACCGGATGAAAACTTCAAAAGGTTTGGCGTATAATCAAAACCGAGTGCAGCTTAATTGAGGGGAATATAATTCCAATGAATCAGTTCCTGACTTGCGCGAAGGCCTTGAAGTGAAAAAAGACCAGTTTATTGCACAATAAACAGAATTTCTCAGTCAAGACCTAAACCAAGAGGGAGAAAACCCAGCAGTTGGGACTTGAATGTAATCGAAAACCTTTTCCTGCGTTAAAAAAAACACGGATAAGTTAACCACATCAACTGTGGTCGTCACTGGGTAGGGTAAGGCATGCTCTGGAAAAATGTAAAATTCTGTTTGACAGTCGATTTGGTGGACTGCATGCAAAAACGACTGCCTCTAGGGTTTACAAATAAAAGAGGACAAAGAGAACATTGAAAAGCTGAAAATACAATACCAGTATCGTGCCTATGAATCTTTTTTAGAAAACAAACTCCTGTGGTGTTCTTTTACTAAAGCATTGTTATTTTACAAATGATGCACCAGCAACCGTTGCCAAAATCAAGAAAATAAACAATTTAATGACAGACATCAGATATATTGCGTCTGATGTGGAGCAATATCATACTCAAGGCTCTGAACACTAAGCGTTGGGAGGATTAAATGTGATGTAAGTGTCAGGGTTTTGCACGAGTTTGGTTGATACTTGTATAAACAGAACTTAAGCCGGGACTGGTTGCCTGAGCCTCGATCGGTTGGAAACATTATAGACCCAAATGCTTGTTTCTTTGCCTTGTACATAATAAAAGTGTCTATGTGACTATGTGATAAAAGCCCATTCTCCAACATCAATTCTTCAACAGTAAAATGTAAAATGTAGTCGAAAGTATTTCCGAATACGTTCAACCAAATCATAATGCTGGTGGCTAACACTGATTCCTGCAAGAAACTTGCAAATATTGGCCGTGCTATATCGTAGATAGCCCGATGGTGGAGTGGGTATCATAGTTGCATTCTGCCGGTGAGAATCTCAGTTGGGCTGATGAATTCACACTGCCGATAAGACCGAACCGGGTAAAAACAGCTGTCCAGTTCTTCATGTCCTTTCAGTTCACGGTTCATCAGTATTGTAAACGAAGAAATTCATTCCGTAAATGATATAAATAACCGTATTAATGTTAGTGTCTACACGCTGAAGTTCAGTGTTTTTCTTTTAATTCAAGAGGCGTAATATCCTACCCAAATCAGCAAATAAAACTCGCTTACCTCGTAATTTGCTTGCGTATCGGGCACTGGAAATTCACAAGTTATCGGTCGGTTACCGCTCCATGAGATCCCCGATTGTTCTTCCTCCTCCGACGTGTGCGTTTGTTCACCTTTCAACCTGCTCTGACTTGCCGTTGTAAAATGATCGGATCGCGGTGATTCTGTGCTATTCGGTGTGCCCGGGGAATTTCCCATTGGATTGACCAATTGGCAAACCTCTGCTTCCGACCACTCTCCCACGCCAATCTGACTACCGGTAAACTGGTCCTCTTTGGCCGACCGATAGCGAATCACCAAATCAGACAGCTCAGCCCGTGCACCGGCCCCGTACGGACACGGATCATCCAGCAACAGAGACAATCGCAGGAAGCCAACGGTTGGTTTAAGAAACGTTACTTTCTGTCAATGTAGGTAAGACAGAGAAGAATTTGCTTGACTCATTGAAACGTAGACTTTTTTATCAAAGTACAACAAAACTATTAGTATGAAAGATCTCAGTGGTTGATTGGGAGATGCAACAGGTATTTAAGGAAGGTTCATCATTATCGCAAAACAACACGACGTGCAAGATCCGAAATAGGCAATTCCTAGTGAACGTATGGGAAAGGCATCAAAAATATCTGCTTTTTGCAAGAATACGTTTATTGACCATTTTCAGCAAATCAAATCACGGAAATAGGTAGATAAAATAATAAGGCCTCAAACTAAAGTATGTTACGGCGAATAAACTCACTGAGCTTATTGAATAGAGCTGTGAATGGAATCCTCAAATTTTGTGGGACTAAACTTAGTATCAGGCAGTAAGTTATTCATTGTTTTGTGTCCCGAGTGAGAGATGGAGTTTGTTTTAACTAACTTTATTTTGCTTGGAGCTTGAGTTATGGGTTTTGAGTGGCATCATTGTTTTATTGAGTATCGAACAGATATTTTGGTTTTCCGAAGGATACGATATGTGCCGAATTTTCGCAATGTGAGCCGTAAATCATATTAGATGATGGTCGACGATCAATAGTTCAGATTAACTGGGTTCGAAAATGTATGATGGAATGAAAGACAGCGACATTTCTATTATCATCTACTTCTAGGTAGGAAATAACCTTCCCAAACACCGATAGTTTGTTATTTCCCGTGCATCTTAGCACAAACGGGTTCTTAAAATGGCACAATACTATTTCGGAAGCAAATGGGCGGTGGCAGCCCGATGGTGATGTGTGTTTGAATCTCCTACACCACTGCCTGACTTTTCCCATTGTGTGTTGAATGTCAGCTCTTTGATTGGTCGCTTCCCCTTCCTGAAAATTGTATTCATCTGTATTCAATACAGGGAAGTAAAATGAAAAAAGGAAGAAAGAATGTCGAGGAAAATTGTATATACGGGATTGGGTTGCATGTGGGTTGGCGTACACTCGAACCCGAGGATGATTAACTAGTTGTTCTGGGAAGAAAACCACAAATCAAAAAGGAGCGAACCCCCCCCCCCCCCGTAAAAAAAAAAAATTCACTAGCAGCATCTGGTTTATATTTTACAAAATATGTCGGGCTTTGAAACAATTTCTTCTCTTGTTCAACACATTGTGCGGTACTGTTGTGTGTTCCCTCAAACCAGCGCACCGGTTTTGTTTGCGCATAAATCTTTCTTTTCATCCACATTGGTCATTCGTGGAATGACCGAAATGTTGTCGCTTCAATGCGATATGTGTCGAGCAGCGGGGTCGTATCTATCTCGTGGTTTAAACTAACGAGTTAGAAAAGACGAATACGGTATGTGAATTAGTAAATATTTTCGAGTAGTCACGTGATTATTACGCGTCCCGGTATTATATATATTAATAATATGTAATTATGGGTATTTAGTTTTTCTGCTTGACAAGCTAATGTCACATTCTCATAAAAAGTTATCAGATTTATAAACTAATACCAAAAATGCAGGCTATTGCTCTTGATATACATCGACTGTTCTGCATGATGTCGAGGCATATGGGGGCCTATTACGTGTAGAGTAGAAGGGTACACGTAGCGAGAAGTCTAATTATAAGTTAACAATGAATGAATGTAGTTAAATACAATACTCGGTGGTCGACCTCCCCCAGAAAAACAACAACGCTCAGTTATTGTCACAAACAAGAGTCACCGATTTCAAGATGGACTGCGTGCACGATGAACAGAAATCATTGAATCCCAACCAGCTCAGTACATTATTGTTTTACCAAGTCACTTTGGACAAACTGATTCAATTTAAAATAGACTGAATCGATTTCGGTCCAAGTTATTCTCTCAAAAATTGATACATTCATTCTTGCATTCCGCACAAAAGAATCAAATATTATCCCTGATCAAGTCGACCAGAATTAAACAATGATTAATTGATTGTGCCCCAAAGCTATGCTCAGCTGTCGAATGCCCGACAGATGAAAAAAACCGGTGGACCAGGTACATCTTTTAAAAACATGGCGTCTAAACAGTTTTATACAAAGTACAATTATGCCCTGCTGTTTCACCTAAAGGTGTTCGTATTGAGAGAGAGAGAGAGTATTTGGATAAGAAATCATGCATTAGAATGGTTAGATAAACACGGAACTTGGGTCACAGTTGCTCAGCTAAATAATGTATAGAAGCGTTTGGTCCTCTTCAATTGTTCATCAGAACAACTCACGTAAATTGCCGGCAACATCTCCAGTTTCTTTGTCCACAATGTGAACTGTTCCATAGCGCTCAGACCAAACTCGTTCCCTGAGGACCATTCGAACACGTATTTCGTATCGGCCATCAATCCGTGCACGGGAATGGTCACAGGCCGCGGAGCCGGGGTCCAACTGTACCACGAGGAAGCAGTTGGGGTGGTTTGCCGACTGGACTGATTGGTTGGTGTCGCTGAAGGTTGACCATTCGAATCTAGATAGACAATCATACTGCCTAGATTGGCCGAGTTCTGGAATGTCTGCTCGTGGGTAGTTTGGAGAGACGATAGAAATGGAAAAAAAACAGATAACCAATGTAACAATTAATCAGTTCATTCACGGTTCCATTTTCAAAACAGTATTTCATAATCGTTAGAAAAAACTTGAGCCTTTTGTTGATAATAAATATAGATACATAGAAATGTGATACGTATGACAGAAAATGTACTCGGAACGGCTGTGTCATCCGTGTAAGAAGCTATCACTAGACCACTACTGAGAAGTTGTGCATCACCTAGATGATTGCGTTCTAAGTGACGATATACAGTGTATCATGACAGTAACAACCGGCCGCTATATCTCCTTGGGTGTTCATGGTAAACCAGCCTGTACAGCCAGCCCATTGAACCTATAGTGTCAATAAGTAAGATAGATGCACACCTCAGGAAATATGAGCCCAGGTCATAACAAGATCTTTAGATGCATGCAAAAATGATTATTACAAGAATGGAACAGTTGCTCAGGTTTTTTACACCCATGTATGTTTGACAACTTGACACTGATAAATCACATTTACGTCACTGTGATCGGAATGAATAAATAACCTGAAACTCCAGATACTGACCATAGGCTGGAGTAGAACAAATCCTATTTTGTGACAGCTTCTCACAAGTGAAGATCGATAGCACGTCAGCCGATTTGTCCAATTAGGATAAGAGAAGAAAAACAAATCGGAAACGCTTTTTAGTGCATTCTAATAATGTTATTGCAATAAAACATGTGTAACTAAATACAGGAGAAAAATTCTAAAGGAAAGGAAAAGTACTGTTAATAACTCAGTGATATCGGTAAAGCATTATATTCGCCGATGTCTCGGTTACCGTGGATAACCTTTCTCAAGGCAGGTTTTACAATGAGATGGCTCAAAGGAAAGGATCACAAGTCAACGAATATTTCATCGTCTGTGTGCGTGTGTCTCTCTCTCCCTTGCTGTGTGGTGGGCTGAATGATTTGTTGTCTGGCATACTAACTCCCATTATCAGATGGAGTCAAGTGGCACCGCGACCTTTGTCGCGATTAGGGTAGTCCAAATGCTCGGGATATAGATTCCGTCGTTTCTGTCGTGTTAATGACCAAAGCTTCGGCAAACGACCGTTCAGTGCATTTTCGAAATCCGAGTTGGAGTATTTTCGGGTTGTCGTAGTCTAAAGTGTGACCTCCGGTTATGGCGTGAAGAGCGATCGCTGAGTCTCGTTCTAGTTTTGCCAGAGTTGCTTTGTCCGTAGATCGGTGTTTTTCTTTTCTCTTGTTTTCGGTTATTCTTGACTAAGGTTCTCTAGTGGTTTGTCCAATGTATTCTGCGGGGCATTCTTTACAACTGATTTGTAAACGCAGTTGTTTTTATCTTGCAATTCGATCGGATCTTTGGTTTTCATGAGATGGCGTTTCAGAGTGTTGTCAATCATTATAATATTATAAACAGTATAACATCCCCAATAAAACAACATATGGCGCATCGATTTTTCGATATACTCCTAAAATCATTTGTTCCTGATGTGTTATAAAGAAAGAAATAGTAAGTTAACTGTTTATAACAAAGTCAGGCCACGGATCCGGTACCGTCCTGCTAAATGAATTGGACAACATCGGGAAGTTGGGGACCATTCTGAACGATGAAACGAAATTCCCAGAAAGGTTCCGGGATAAAAGCAACAAGAGATTTCAAACGGGAAAAGACACTTTTGCCATTGCATTCGGCACTCACAATGTGCAATTCAAGTTTAACGACAAAGTCGCCTCCAAAAGGACGATGTGTCAAGAGGGTTCCCAGTAAGACCCTTGTTTTCTGATATTTTCATATCTATAGAATAAGAAATGATACTCTTGAAACACACGGAACAATACCCGTTGTAAGTGGATGTATATTTGGTCGGTGTCAATTCCAGAGCGGACTGTAAATAACTACTATAGATCAATTCCATGCTACCTCTTTCTGCAACTCCCCTTCCATTTTTTCATGTAGTAAACTATATTGAGTGCGCAACTAGACGTCTCTTTGGCGGCACCTTTGAGCGCTATCCCGCATCTGAGCAATTACGTCAGTCACAATTGCATTTGGGCTTATCTCGTCAACACTAATTACACCATTGTTGAGCAATTTAATTACCTCCAATTTTTCCTTTGTAAGTCTCCTTTATATCTGGCCATTTATATTGTGTTGTAATAGTACCATTTCGTTGCATCAAAAACTAGCTTATGCTCTCAACATGTGTTCTATGAAACGGTTAAAGATAACTCAGAATTGTACTGAGTCGAAAGGATATCTATTTCACTGTAAACGTTGGTGAACAAGATTTCGATCATGATAGTCCGGATGAGACAAGTTCAAAGAAGTGTATGTGTTCAAACAAACGGGAACAGGCGGAATGGCAAAGGAGAAACAGCCGTAGTTGCCCACTAATCTGTTTCAGTAAAAAAATGAATGAATGAAACCCATCCAGAGAATTTTGTATTGATCTTGGGTGTGGTTAATGAGAACGCTAAGCGATCGGCAAATTTGTAACTCTAAAGAAAGGAAGCGGGGAATGAAATCAATTTTACGAATGCAAGGGATCATCTCTTGGCTAGATGATGAGAAAATTGTGAGCAAAGTAATAAAATGTTCGTACAGGAACCTCAAAGATAACTGCATCGAAAAGAGTTGTACTCAGGCAGTTGTTGAATAACAAGGTGTAAAGAAGCCTGAACGTGAAGAGGCGTTAGAGACAGAGTCCACAGAGGTCAACTCCTTTTGTTAGGGATTCTTTAGTAAAGCTTATCAGAATGTGATGAGACGCATGGGAAATCTCTACGCGTGTGACACTTGTTTAGAAAATTGTTGTTTGACTTCCGCTAGTGAGACTAGCCGGTTGAAGATCCTGGTTACTTTCACTCGCAGGATGCGATTTCACTTTTTGATTAAACACGGTCGACTAGGGTTGGGAATGGGAAATATTCTATATTTTATCCTATTGTCCGGAAATATATTGCCGTGAATAAAACATTCAATGAAATTCAGTTGATTATCAGGAACAATTTTCGACAGAGGAGACTATTTTCACAGTTTCATCCTCTCAACTAAAGGCATGCTTATGCGTTATTAAAAAGGATTATCCGCTTGAAATCATATTATGCTTAGAGAAGTTCGAAAGATTGGGGATGCTTTGCAACAAAGTCCGCAAATAAGAAACCCTTGATAAGCTTTCACATTAAAATTTAAAAATGTAATCAGAGAAACAATAATGCTGTACATGTTTAAGTGGCTTTACTGTACTTAGCTTGCGAATGAGGGTTCCAGAATGTTTATTCGTTCCGCTGAAGTCAAACACCTTTGATATTAGATACATTTCAATCTCTACAGGTAATTAGCGGACATGCTCAATCGATGTAAGACAGCTTCTTCGGTCTGGAGACAAAAGCTTAAATGGCAGTAAGTGAAAACTGTCACAGGAACGAGGAAAAAGATAAAACAAACGACTGCCCATAAAAAACCTAGTTTTCTCGTTTTAGAACTGAGCCTCTAAGCTAGAAATTCTACGTGAGTTACTCGATTTCTCTTGATCAGCCAAAAATTCTGTATGTAAACGAGATAGTTACGGAACACAGGTTGTTTGGTGATAATGATAATCGAAAACGCGCAGACTTCGTATTTCTCACACGCTTTTTGGTGCTACTCATGAGTAGCATATATCAATAACTGCAAATCATCAACAGGGGGAGAGTTTCTACCCGCGTGTTCCAGAAAACAGAAAACTTACATCAATCGGTGCAAAGATGACCTTCTGTGTGACAATTCGCTCAGTTGGTGGACTCGATGGAGTGACATGCGGATTGGTTATGCTAAACACGACCGCGCGCGGACCGACGCAGGTTACGGAGACCTGTTAAAAATAAATAAATTTTCGCCGTGAGAACAGAGGTAGGATGAAAGCAAAAAAAGACAGTTCTGAAAGGGAATGGGAATGATTTACCCATTAGATCTCAGCTTCCGAGTTATCCTAAAGGAGTTACGAGCTATGTGAAGCAAAAATTTAGGATTATATACCGACCGGTGTAATAACCAATTTTATTATTCCTAACCTCGAGACTCATATTTGTCAGTTCTGAATTAGCCAGACAATGTCGAGTCAGTCAAAACCGAAATGACTTCAAAGTACTGAAATTCAATTTAATCTTTCTATTAAATCATTGCTGGTTTATTTGCCAAATTGACTCGGATTCGAACACGGTCACGATGGCTATTGAGATGCAACTGAAACACGGAATCTCATTACATATTGATTGATTCGTTCATCGGTTTAAGAATTTCCAGTATTTGAACTACTCAAATAGGAAGTCGTATTTATCAAAATAACCGGAATCCCTTACGTTGAAGATGAAACAATGTCATCCATTTATCTTCCGAAAACGCAGTAAAAGAATACCAAACGGTTATAGCACTACGTAGAATACGGAAGTTGCAAATTAGGTTTCAGTTGAATTGAGAAGTTTTCTAACTTCTGCACCAAACAAAATATCACTCGTACCATTTAATCCGCTTTCCTTACATCAGAATGACTCGCAATTTCCGTTTTTTGGAACTTGTCTGTCTGTCTGGGTCACGTTTGGTCAAACGCGAAATTGTTGATAGAACAGCTGAACGATCAAATAGCGAGATCTTTTTATTTGTGCACAAATTAAGGTAGTGTCGAACGTGCTCGAAAGAAAATTGAATGATCAATTAATCATTGCAATTAACGATAGGCTGTTGTGGCAAATTACCGATTGTAGAAGGAAGTCATCGATGTGAATAAATTAAGGGGGTGAAAACATCCCAAACCGGATTTACTACTGATTACAAATTGTGATTGCAGTCAAAATGGATAAATAAATTATTTTTTTAGTATTAAATGATAAGAATAGTTGAAATTAAGGACGATATGAAAGATCTGATTGCATCAATGGTGTTTTCAGCTGATTATGAAGATCATCAGTCGTAAATTTGACATTATCTGTTTATCCTGAAAAGTGAAGGCATGGAAAGAAAGCGAGAGAGAGAGCCCGTGCTGGTCACGCAGTCTGCGTTAAATTCGCTGCTATGAAAGTAGGAGATAGACTAAAAGTTTTCAATTACATTTTAGAAATATTTTTCAAAAGTCAGACATCCTTATTCACAAAATGATCGGTCAATTAACCACATGTCAATGCACCATTTTGGTAAAATCCAACACGGTTACGAACGCGCAGATAATTTTTATACACGATGGTCTTCACTAACCGTACAACTTCTCGCCAGTAAAATTTGTCCAACAATTTAATCCGTCAAAATTATTGCTCGATATATCCATATTTTCGGATTGAGAAAAGATAAACGCTTCAGTGACTTCACTGTGCAATAGTTTGGCGAACGTCTGTGTTCGGGCTCAAACAGTACCAAGGCTACGGACCGCTTAACAATCTGAATGTTGGACTACAGTATTTCTGTTATCCGCGAAAGAATATTTCTTGGACCCCTATTTAGGACTTATATCTCATTTGGTGGATTCCGATGAGCTCCGAGGAAACTCTGCCAGGGAGAGGGCTTACTTATTATTCGGTGGATTCCATACTCCTATAAAAGTCAGGTAGGTGAGTTAAATATGAAAAGATCATTGTTGATAATGCAGTCTTGTAGACAAGCTGGTCGAGCGTGAGTTATGTAGCACAATTTGAATATCCATATCAGACAGACTCCTGGGAACTCCATAAACTTTGTTCAGTTCTAAACTAGAATGGCAGCCCTGTTCCGATTCCGTGGAACGTTCTGGCTATCATTTTGACATCTAGCTGCATTAAACGGTCACGACGCTCGACAACAATATTTCTGGTCGAAGGATGCTCTTAATCGGTTTTTCCTGACCCTATGGGTGAATGGTTTGTCTGTGGCTTTCATTGGGACAGAAATGTTAAAATCAGTGCGATATTTGAGGGCGGGGAATATGTGTACTCCTTCAAATAAAGACCGAGAAGAAAGCGGAAGAAATTATTGACATGTCTTGATTAGAACGTAACTATTTTTTATATCGAATCCACCAAAAGGAATCCAGTATGATCGTGAAGTCATTCAGGTTAGTGTGGGGATTCCGGCTGAACTGTGGTGTTAAATAAGAGAACGTCGTGACATATTACGACGGCGAATTTTACTCGCACAACGCCTTCCGGATAGTTAGGTATGTGGTACACGAACCTCACCCAGACAGTCGCATTGTCAATGCATTTCTCCTTAAATATCTTGTGATAGGAATGGAGTTGCTCAGTATCGGGAAACGGTAGTTGGAAGTTTGAGGAAGGTTTCTAAAAGGTGAGTGAAGGCATTTCATTTACAACGTCAGCATAGACCCTATTGATACCTCTCTGAGAGACTAGTCAAACTTTTATTTTTTGTAATGAAATTGAACCACCTGGTAAACCGATAGCACACCAACGTGACTGAGTGAACAAACAGAGATATTACACATGTTATTTAATTTACTTTTATTATACGAACTATTAGTAATGGTAGTAGTGGTGGTTGTTGTTGCTGTTGTTACAAATCCAAAAAGCGGTGCCGGGACAAGGAGAGTTGCAGAGTTACAGCAAAATGTCTTATTTGGGAACAATTCTTCCGCATTTACACGAGCACATAGGATGATTGATGGAAGATGCAAATTTCACCTAATTACTATTTTGAACTTTAAGATGTCTTGTTCATTTTTGACTGTTGAGGGAAACAGTTATTCACGTTCTTTTGGGCAATCCAAACATGTTACCCACAACACTAGTAGCTTTAGCAGTTATGGTGGCAATAGTAGTAGTAGCAGTAGAAGCCACCGCAAAGCAAATGAAATAGAATAAATGCAGGATAGTGAAGTGTTATCATTTGACACAATCAATTTGTGAAGGCTGATGATAAATTGAAGGGCTTTTTATCTACTTCAACTAGCAACGCTGGTTTGTGGTTTAACGAAAACTGGTCAATGTTTCCAAACAATACCTGCCTGTTGCCATCCGTCCATAATGCAGTTTGGCAGTAAAAAGCCATGAGACCATCAAACACTTCGAATTGGTGTATGATCCAGTGTTTCACCACTCAGAAAAATTAAACACAGCGGATCAACTCAAAATGATGAAAACAATTCTTTTTAATGCATGCAAATTCAACTCAAACAACATGCGGGAAACGAATGCGGTAATCGAGAAACTGATATCCGGAAATCGCCAGTTTTAATCTTTGCACACATCTGTATCAAAACCGTGTACAACATATGTGATCTAATTAGAACACCCTACTGCTCCCTTTCTGATTTAATCATTCTGTATCCCACGAAATAGAGTGTCATGCCGTCCAGGTTTTCCGGATAAGATGTTGAAATGAAACCTGCGCAAAACCTTGGAAAGAACCTTGATTACGATTCTGAAATTACTGCGCCCTCCCTCTCCCTCATGGTTCACAAAAGGGGATTAGGCAAATCCTTCTTCAATGGCGAACTCAAAGTGGGCAAGGCAGACTTACGGAGCAGAGGAGACTAACCTTGTTAGGAATACATTTACAAGAAATAGGGATCCAAAAGACCACTTTGAATGCCATTGCTAGTGGAGAAAAATGACTAAACCAAAACTAACCGTTGACAAAAGGTTATGGTGATTGTCTCACCCTTTCAAGACGATCATTCAACAACAACAACAAAAATCAATACAATCTGCACCAAAAGGTTGGCACACGATGTGCATGTTGGACGAAACAGGGTGGCCTCAATCACCTAACACTCTTAGTTTCTTTGTAATGGGCATATTTAACTTCCATGTTTCACACAGTGACCGATAAAACGGAATCAAATTCATACAGCTGTGGGTTTCCTTCTGACTGTATCAACCAACAGTAAAACTGAAGCTTACTCACGTACCGCGATGAATGAACATATATGGTGATTTTGTAATATACTGATAATGCAGTGGATACCGCTTCATTGTCCTCACATTGAGACACAGCACAACAACTAGGACAGTTATACAAGCCATCGGAAGGATCCGCGAGACTTACATTTGGCTTGGTCGGCTGAGTTGCCTCAAAGATTGTCTTCTCTTGATAGACCAACCGCGAATCTCTCCCTTGATATTCACATCGCACCACGGTGCTATTGCCCGAACCCGGACTGATCATGATCTCATAGGTCGCGTTTATACTGTCGGTAAGCGTGTGGGTGTAGTGTGTAGGGGAATGTGGATAAACCAAGGAAAAGATATGCAGATTGAGGCAGCTTACAGTACCGACAGTCAGAAATAGTCGATTTAATCAAAAATGGTTATTTTTATTACCCTAGTGAAGCTGGAATAATCACAGTTTGAATCAACGCGGTGAAATCTCGATTCAGACGCACCAGTGGATGCGTGTCGAATCACCAACGGAAAGCAACACAACACCATTTTGAGTATATTTGTCCTGGATTCCGTCTCAAAGCGCGCACACACATATTTCTAATCCATCTCAGCAAGCGTTTTGCCCTTGCATGAATCTTACTATACTGACCACAGGCCTTACCAGTGACTCTTCTGGTTACTAGGTCGTTAAGACATCTTTTCACTTGCAGCGATAATTCTCAAGCATATTTTCTGTTTTGTACAACCTCCGCTTTTCGAAATTTATATCTACGCATAATAACATTTATTTATCTTATACACCACATATTTCCAGATTTCTAAACCAACTTCAACGTGTTGAACTGGCAATCATAAATATTCAATGCTATCCTTCATAATTATTCTTTGGATCAATTAGAATTCAACTGGTGAACTACGGTATTTGTTCAAGTAAATTACCGCGTGCTCATGTTACTCATGCCCTAGTGGGATGCTTTTATCCCTCTGTGAACCAGTCGTCATCTCCTGAGTTTTTATCATGCAAAAATCATCAGATGGGCTTAGATATTATGTATCCGGTGAGAGCGTTAGATGCAAACAGAGACAATCTAGTGAAAGTGACTAAATAATATTAATACTACTAACAAGGAGTACAACAATGAAACAATTATCGTCTGTCACTTTGTTAACGTACCAAGCCACTCTGGATAAATCACTTAAGGAAAGGAGATACGATCAACTGAATTAGAGTTAGAAAGGAAATGCAAGTGTGAAAGTTTGACTGTGGAGATACTACTCGAAAATGCAATCTTTGGCTTGAATTGAAGGTGAAATATACCACAACTTCCTCCAACACCGTTTTGCGCAAGTAACGCTGTGATTACATGTCTGCCTATTGTGAACCAGTTAAACTCAAGTAGTACTTAGAAGAATATCTGTCAAGCGCCTTTGTCCCCCATCATTCTGTTGAATCTGTTTACCACCGTCCACAAGTTTCCACCTACAACTCTGTTTAGTCACCGCTCATTCGTCATTGTCTTGACCCGTGCGCCGTATCGATCACCAGATAGGCACTTTTCGTTCGCCACGAATGATTCCATTTCTTGCCCGCTCACGAAACTGGTTTACCCCCCCCCCCTTCTTCTTGTGACCGTTGTCCCTGACCCTGATACAATCTGACTCACTCTGTCCTCTGATTATCGTATTGGTTGCTTACCCTTATTCGGATTGGTCCTCTGTCTCACCCATGCGTGACAATGTCTCATGTGCACTGGTGCGATCCGACGTTCCTTCACTTATCGTTTCCTCGCTTGACGGAATGGTGAACTCCGTCGTTTACACTTTGGTTTTCGATCGGCATTGAGCACTTCACCGGTTCATGCATATCCCCTGGGAACGCCACGATTTGAAGTGTGTAGTTTATGCAATAAACCTCCAGAACATTCTAAGGTTTTACTTCACTCAATATTGGCCTAGATATTTGTATGTCCTAATCGAGAGCACTGTCGATGAATACAGACAGAGAAGATTAAACAATAGCGTAAACCAATTTCACCTTATTACAGGCAGACCTATCGAAACGGACATCATTTAGTATATTTCGTTTTATTTAAAGGAACATGGTCAGATGGATGCGGGTGGTCGTACAAAAGCAATCATCACTAAGGACCATTTATTTCGTTTCATTCATATCCGTACTATGAGAAAAATGCTTTCATTTTATACGTTGAATCCCGACTGATCGGTTGTTCTTCTTTCTGGTTATTTCTTCCATCAATACGTCTTCTGCGGTCAATGTAGTTTCCGATGAAGAAAACAACTGTAGTGAGTTGTGACATGAGCGTGAAACTGGTCATTTTCCGGCCTAATACCGTTTAGAGTGGAACAGAATGCACCCACAATTATCGCAGAAGACCTGCTTCGAGAATGAAAAACGAAACAGAATAGGAGAAACAAGTTCCACTTCACTCTTGATCGACGTGACAGATTATATAGACGATTAAAATTATTCGCATCCTGGAAAACGATGATGAAAGGCTACATTTCCCGTAGCGGAAAATGTCAAGCACAAACAGGTGTTGCTTCACTAGCGGTAGTGTATATTGGTAGAACATACCCATGGGCCTCCTCGGGATTTAAACTCCCGAATCCTGGAACAGAAAACGTGTGTGTGCATCGGCACACGAAAGATTGTGCGTGAGGATGAAATGTGACAGATGACCTGTCCAAATCTGCAACAATCAACCCACACTCCTACTCAAAACTAGCTGTGGATCGAAAATGAATGGACCAGTCAGCTGTTCTTTCACATAATATCCCGGGAAAATTGACAGCGGCACCACCTCTAGTCCATACGTTTAAATTGTGCTCCAACCGTATCTGATGTATCCCAAAATCCATGAGCTCACGTCACAAAAAGATAAACCCTAGATAGGGTTTTCTGTACGAGGACGATTAGTCTTTATCACTGAATGCATCATCGTTTTTTGAGGCGATAGATTTGAAATTGCGAAAGGGATTAGGGTTCCTTAATTCCTAATAAATTCCCACTTGATTATTGCTCACGGAGTCCCGACGACTTCCTGATATGTCATTCATTTATTGGAAAGAAAAATAGCACCACAATATGAGTTTTAACTCCGTGCGACGCAATAGAACCGAATGAATAACAATAGCCTGCTCGATTAGCCGAGAGAAACGAGTGCAGAGAATTCGGTCTCAAACGTACCCTAGAAAATCGTTCGTCTCGTAGTTGATGAGCTTCATTTCAACCTGTTCCAAGGGTTGACCATCCGGGCGACTGAGAATCATTCGAACGGGTTTGTCTACAAAGGAAACGGGAGTGGACGTTAGATCGGACGAGTGTTATTTTTTTTTAAACTAGTCTGGTTTACGTTACATGCGAAGATAAATTTCCCCCTGAGCGGGAATGCTAGATTCCACTGAATATTTTATGTGAAGTAAAAATAATCCTCAACACAATCAAAAACTGTGTAAACATTTGCATCAGTTTGTCGGCTGCTATGGAGATAAATAAAGAACGATTATTGTTAAATATTATCATTATTCAGTTGTTTCAATGTTCCAACAAACTGGACCAAATCATTAGTCACGAGAAATTGATTAGAGTCGCGTTGGACCATACCAGAAAACCGTTTGCGCAGGTTGCTCGAATCTGATTGTGTTAAGGGGTTTTGTTGAGCATCTCAGACTACTTTGAGCTTTTGTCACAATTCATCCGCAAGTTACAACTAGATACTTTAAGAGCTTCGGCTATCCATCTATATATTTAACAACATAATGCTAATGAATGGAAACTTCCTCATTATGCGTCACATACTGGAATTCTACATTTATTGTTTTGGTAAACTTGAAGGTTACACTAAACCGAATTGTACGAGATCAATTAAACTGACCGCACTATGTGGTTTACACGATGTGTTATTCTGTAAAGTTGAACTGGACACCGCAGCAATGGTGACCACCTTACTTTCGGTACGCCTCCTCAGTCCCTGTTGTATTATGTTCTCTGATTATAATTGATGCAAACGTGATCATTGGATCAATCGAAGATAGTAAGGGTTGTCATTCGAATTCTATGTGGAAATATTTGGAGTAAATCTTGTTTGGCGGTCACTCATGACCTCTGAAGGGGTGAAATTGGTATTATATTATATTCACGCCGGTAAACATCCAATAAATATTTATAAAATTTTTTTTAGACTGTTTATTGATGCTCTTTGGTTGAAACCGAAATCCATCTAGTTCTTGAACAACTGGCATTTGTACTCAGTCATTCAGTACAACAGGACATGACGGGATCCGATGTATAACGATAGATTTTGAAAACAATATATTCATCGCAGTTTCGTGCGAGCTATAAAGCACAGGTAATTAAAAAAGTAAGTGAATGGGGCATGGATGTATGTATGGATGGATGGACGTGTTAGAGATTTATCTAATATATGAATAATTTCACATTATGTTCACTCATCGATCCTAAGGAGGAGAGTATCAAATACTTTGTTGGTTTGATTAAGCAACCATGGTTACATGACGTTCTCTCGGAACTCTGCGGAGTAGATGAATATGTGTAGGAACACCCTGGCCAATTACTTCAAAAGTTTTGTGGAGTTAAACCCGTTGGTACATTCCACCTTTTTCGCAAACAACACGCAAAGCTTGGTTGAGAGTGGGAAGCGTGTGAAAGTGGAGTAGGTAACTATTCCGGCGGTAGATTCCCGTCAAAAAACCTAAACTTTACGATCAATAAAAAGTGCGTGTGAGCTGGCAGAAACAAATTTCAAGCGATATTCGTTATGCAAAAACAAAAGTGTTCGAACCATCAGGTTCATGTGAAATGCAAACCCGAGAAAATCGGGAGAAATCAGTTAGAAAGCACTCGTCAATCGTCCTAAATAACAGTCATCTCAACTCAGCAACATTTATTCCAAACTACGATTTATAAGTATGTCTGAGTTGAATGGGAATCGCAAATGCGAGCTGGCAGTTTTGCTTGGAATGGCACAAACAAACTGTCCAAGTAGAACTGATTTTCTAAAAGGCCGAGGATTTCAGTCGGATGATAGAATACAGCGTCCTTTTTCGTTGGTGTTGAGCTGATCAATCATAAACTGGCGATTCCATTCAGCCCACAATGAGCGATTTGGCACAGAGGTAACACATGTCCTACGGTGTTCAATTGCTGGACTCAAAGTTTCGATACGCAGTTCTGATAAACTCTAATGACAGAAAAACCCTGATTCTGCTATCGCACAAACGAACAGTTGGTTGAACACGTTGAGGATTGCACAGGAAGATGAGGTGATAGTCTGTAAAATCAATCAACCTAGTGAACCAAGAGACATCCACCTGGTTATTATTGTGGAAACATGCGCAAAATAAACTGGGACAAAATCTATTTATTTTGCCAGGCTACAGTAAGTAATTTTATTTTCTGCTATTAAGGAAACAGTGATAATATGATACTGAATGAATTACCGAATCCTACATGCGGGAACAAACTTATTTACTCCGTCATCTGGCACACAAGTCGAAAGTTTGATTTCTGTTGATTGCGTCCTAGTTACTAGAGAAGAATTAGCGCAGATGTGGTTCAAACGCCGTACACAAAACGGGATTATTTGAAAAAATGCCTGTGAGTGTGGCATGTGTATTCATTTATCTTTCATGCTTATATCAGGTCACTCATCAAAAAAAGTCTTCATTATATATTATATCATTATTATTATTATTATTTTATTTATATCCAATTTGTATCACAATCCTGATGAACATCGCAGTCAGCATATCTTTCAATATCCCCTATCAATTTGTGTTGAAATCCTTTGACATCCAGGTTGTTCTATCATGGACTCTGTCTGACCCGTTTGTTGACGTTCATCTGCTACCACCATCATTCCCAAAACAACAGTCGTGTTCTGCTTTTCAAGCAGAGTCTTCACCCCAAGTTTTGTCCTTTTAATACTCACCCAACAACTACGAACACTAAAAGCGGGAAGGGGGTTTCTATATAATCACGATGACATCATTTAAGGCTATCAGAACCCACGATCGACGTCTCGGTGTTTGCAATAACGAACCATCAAATGCGTAGCCAAACTCCCGACTACAGTGAAATGGACGAAATCGAGCAATGCTGGTGGACTGCGCGAGCATCAAACCTTCAAACTCAGATGTAAACCACCACCGTCACCACCACCACAACAACAGAAACCGTAATAACAGTAGTACATATAGTTGGAAATTAAAAATAAATACTTTCATGAACGAGCTCCGCAGATTAGATATATCACACTCGACTGAGGCGCCTCGGTACGGTTTGTTCATGTGTCATATACGAGTTTTATCTTCGGCAGTGAAATCTATGCCTTTTCAACTTCAAGTGAATCCAACCAATCGCACTTCATTGGAAACCCCACAAGATAAGTCCAGATGTGAATGTGAGCATGATTCTTTGTATGAGTGGAGTCAGTCTAGGCCCACAATAACCCAATGAGTAAATTCTATTGAGGCCGAGTTTCTCTCCAATAAAACCGATTCCTTTGAATCAAATGCAATTGCTTACGTATTTCTGACATTGAAATGCACACCTGACACGATACTTAACAATAGTATTAATGGTGAAAGAAGTAACTGTATTTCACCTGAATAGTAAGATCGAATTCGGATCTATTCTCTAGCTAGCAGAAATCCTATTTTTCTCTGTTATTCCCTGGCCGATTAATGCATTCAATCCACAATGTCAATGGCAGCAATCCGTTACCTGCAGCTTCTCCCTTCGCTACTCAGCTTCCTCGCATAGGTGACCGACTTATCGATCCATCTTGACGCGATTCGCTTCCTTACCCGACCGACAGAGGTCAGTTGACTCCGGATTAGTTCATTCGTATCTATGACGCACACTTGATCAACGATCACGGACATACCGTTCTCGGATAGAACGGTGGGTGGGGGGTGGGAGAACGGCTCACCTCACCCTCCCCCGCCAAACATTCAACCTTGCTCGGTAACTCACTAAAAAAGTACTTTTGTTTGTTTACTGGGAAATGAGTTCATTCGGACTAGACGGAGTTTAGATAGACCCGGTCCAATGGGTGACATTTAACTACCCAAACACCAATAATCTTGTGGGGTTTTCAATTAAGTGCGATTGGTTGGATTCACTTGAAGTTGAAAAGGTATAAATTCAATGCCGCACAGCGAAGATGTGTGTTCTGTACGTCACCAAACATCCTATGTTACAACAAAGATAAATTGCCTGTGTCGACCTCATCTATGATTGTCTACCAATTCAAATGCACCTGTGGTGCGACTTATGTAGGTCGAACGACAAGAACGCAATTCACGCTGGCTCACACAGGGTGGGAGTGAAGCGCGATGGGCATCCGACTCATGAAGCCTGAGCTGTGCGCACAACGCGAATTGATCCAAGCTCTCAAACTCCTTTGGCCAAGGGAAGAGAAAATCGCTTGTTCATACAACCATGATGTAACGACTTTGATTATGTGATCCAAACAGAGCACACATTCGGAGTTCTCTTGGGCTCATTGCTGAATACATGACTCATCCAACTTTCTGTTTGACCGTATTGAAATTGTTTCATATAAATGTGATTGTAAAGGGTTAAAAAGGAATGCACCGAAAACGTATGTTCGCCTACATTGTGTTTTTAACCAATGGGCATATTCCGTGATATTTGAAAGCAATGGCTTGATACACTGGCACCATAGACATCCGGATTTTACCCAGTCCTATTTAAACACTATAGATAATTCCGTCTAACCGCTAACGAGTTGACCTGGACCGGACATTGGATCAACTCCCGATGCACAGTGTTCGTACAAATGATTCGCATCAAACTGGTCTGCAACAACAACAACAACCGTCAACTTAAAACAAGCACACTGTGCAGTCCATTTGAGTAAAATGCAGTGCGAAGATGCTAATTCAGGGAAATTATTCTCAACCACAGCAAAAGTGTGAGAAATACTTGGATAACCTGGTCATGAATAAGTGAAATTTATTTCACATGATTGAACCATAGTTTTATAGGAGCTCCTTCGGCCCGGGTTGCAGTCAGTCTGGTGTTTTGTTCCCAAATATTAATTATCATACTGTTGGTAATGACGTAATCACAAGAACATTTGAGAACCCTTGTATTGCAGGACGATAATCATTAGTCATTTATAGACGCCTTCATATAATTCGAAGCTTCGTATTACTGCGCATGATCTGTAATTCTGCATGCACTCCAGTTTTAAAAAAGTCGATTAGGTTACTTCTGAATG